GGAAGGTGACTTTGAGCGGAGCTGCTGGGCAGCCAGAGAGAGTTTGGAAAATTCCTTGTCCTCCCCAAGGTCGGCCTCAGAGGGTCGCTTGGACAATGGCCTGACATGTTGTGTAAAGGCCACACCAGGGGCTGGGCCCCATTCCGTCTCCCACCTGGGCCTGATCCAGAGAGATTTTTTGGGGGGGTCTGCCTTTCCCCCCCATTCGATGGTTGAGCCTGGGCAAGTCCCTGACGAGGGATGAGGGCCGCCTGGAGTTCCTTAGTCCCAAACTGAGAGGAAACACAACGATAACACAAAGAACTTTCAAATGCAGCCGGTGGTCTCCTGAGGGGAGGGGCTCCCTCGGGGGCTTTCACTGGGAGGGTTTTGTGGGCTTTCCCCCAAATGTCTCAATGTTGTTCACTGTTCTATTTTCTGTGGAAAAACCCTGCAGAAATGTTGGACATCGGAAAGCGTCCAGGGGGAAGGCGCGTGAAATTCAGGCTGGCACCCCAGGGAGGGAGCTCGTTCAAAGGAGACCATCACGGTGCTTGGACGTGACTTGGAGGGCTGCCAGGAGAGAAAATCCATGAGCTGAACAAACGAGAAATGCTCCTTCTGCGTGAGCCAGGGAAAGTTGCACAACAGGGCCGCACAAACCCACCTGTGAAGGAAGCCGGCAACGGGGTTAATCACGGGGCTGAATCAGGAGATGAGTCAAGGCACGGATCCCCCTCGGCTCTTTGTTCCCGGAAGACACAGCAAGGAACAGCCTCCCCCCTGAGCACCACAGGGGCCGCGAGGAGCCTCTTTCAGGGGGGGGGGGTCTTTGCAACCCCTCCGCCTCTTTCGAGGGGGGCTTCTCAACCTCACGATGGATGGCTGGGGAACTCCGGGAGCTGAAGCCCACGTATCTCCAAGTTGCTGCTTTGGAAGGGCTGGCATTAAATATTGATTCTGATCTCCAGCCTCCTTGTGTGGAGCGCCTGCTCAGCCGCCCAGCGGAGCCCTTGATCTGCCTCTCAGAGAAGCATCGGAGCCTGCGACCCGCAGGAGGCCTTCCTGAAGCGCCAATGAGTCGGCAATTAAATCCAGCTGCTCTTGACCCTTCACCTGATTCGCTTGTGGCTTTGGTCAAGCTCCCTCGGTCCATCTTCATGAGGAAGCCACCGGGCACTTCCCTGCCTCGGCTGCCCAGGCATCTGCCGGCTCCGTGATCTGGCCGGAGCGTTTCAGGCCCCACCAAGTGCAAGAGGGCCGGCCGTGGGAAAGCCCGGCTCCCCCTCAGCTTGACCCCAAAGCAGAGGCCAAATGTGACCCCCATCCAGGAGGGCCACCAGGTTCCCACAGCAATCAGCTGCCTCTGGCGCCTCTTTAGGGCTTGTTTGCGGGAGGGGCTTTTCGGAGGCCTCCCTGGACGAAGGTCTGTGTGTGGAAATCCTGCACGGAGCCCGAGGAATCAGGCGTGTCGACAGTTCCCACATTTCAAGGAACCTCCACCTCCATGGTGACGGCAGCCTGCAACCTTCCCCTGCTTCTCCTGCGTTCCTCCAGGAAGCAAAAGGTTCTGCTCGAGACACAGACCCATGCAGGAGAGGCCTCTGCAGACAAAGGCCTCAGGCCCCGGGAGAGAGTCTTCCCTGGCCTTGCTTAGGGGACCTCCCTGGCTGAGTGGGGACCCCCTTCAGCGGCCCTCCCCTTCGGAGGGTGCGTTTCGCCTCCCCAGCCTTGCTCAGAAACGACAAACTGCAATCAATAAACCCTGAGGCCGTTCTGGGGGAAATAGGGGGCCCCCACCCCACCTTCCCCTGCACAGAGAAAACCAAGTTTCTGGTGTCAATTTAGGACCATCCTAGGCATGACAAGAAATGCCATAAAAAGAAGGCAACATGTTCAGCACTGAAAGCAATAAACCATTAAAAGCAGGCTGTGCATGTTTGGGGGTGGGGGGGCTTTTCATTGGCAGACAGGAGCCCCAGATCTCAACCGTGAAAGGATCAGGAGCGTTTCAGCTGGGGGTGATTTCTTGGCTCCTGGATTCCTTTGGATCTGGCTGGAGAAGCCCGTCGTGAGCCTTGGTAGGCGAGACCCTCCTGGGAGAAATTCTATTTTTTCGGTGGTTTCTTTGTCTGGGGTGATGGATGGTTTGCCCACTGCACCTATAACCATCCGTTTCAAAATAGAGCCTGACGGAAGGTCTGCGGACTCCACCCGATTCCCATTTTATCTCTGGCACCGACTTCAGTGGGGAGAGGAGGAGGAGGAGGCCGAGGGGGACGGCCGAGACGGACATGAGGACATGGCCAAGAGGTGAGTGCGGTTCTCTCCCTGGGCCTTCTTTGCATTCCTTGGTTAAGCCTGGGTAGGATAGAGCAGTGTTTCTCAACCTTGGCAACTTGAAGATGTCCGGACTTCAACTCNAAAAAAAAACTTGTCTTGCTGCTGTATAAATGTCAGGGCCTTGGAGTGGTTTTGCTACACTGGAAAAAATGTTAACAGATGGATTTAAATGATCCCATTGCTGGCTGGGATGATGCCCATTGAAGTAGCTTAAGACTCATCTGTCTTGTAACCTAAATCGACTTGCTGTCTTCCAAGTCGATTAACTTTTGCCAGGTGGAAACCAGGCGTGGTGAGTGGTCCACGGCAGGATATTGTGGAAATGAGCTTTTAATGAAGTAAATATTGTTTTTTTTAAACAAAAGTAAGCCTCTGTGGGTGACTTTATGGACATCCATGTGGTTTTCTTGGCAGCCCTACTGCTGCTGCCACCAGCTGGGCCTTTCTGTAATCCGCCCCCTCCAGCAGGGTACCTCCCTCTGCCTTCCACGCCAGTGCCCACAAGTCAGGCCAGACCTGCAGGGCTTCCCAGCCTGGCAAAGGCCACCCAGGTGCTTCTACCTGCAGAGATGAAAGTGTGAATCCCGCTTCCATCCTGCTGGCTGAGAGAGATTCCATATTTAGGTCAGAGTTGCAGCCTTCATTTACAAAACTACAAAAACGTAGTCATGGAGGCTGCTGTGGTGTCCTTGTGTTTGTATCCCCACAGCAAAGAAAGAAAATCTACTGTGTAGGTTGATGGTGGCCTCAGTTCTGGAGATTGATGGTCTTTCTTAAGTTGGTCCCCTCAATAGCTGCAGGTATTTTTCACGGATGAAAGTCAGAGGACTTGGGCACCACAGAGAGAGCCCAGTTCCTTCTCCGTCAAAGGTTTTGGAAAGGCACTTCTTTCCGCTGTTTCATAGGTAAAATCTTTTGGCCACAAAGCTTAATACTGTTTCCAGGATGCCTCCTGTTTGGTATAAGAAAGCACCTGACCTTCACCTTTGTCCTGGCTCCTTTACAAGGTGGATGAATGCAGCCCTCATTTGGTTACACATTGACCTTAATTGCTCTCTTGGCAGCTATTAATGCTGCCCAGTTCAGTTTCCACTCAGCAGCATCACAATACTTGTGAGACCAAAAAAAGAGGACCTGCTCATAATGTGGCTAACCCTGCAGTCCCTTCCTCCTTTCCAAGGCAAAAGAGGCAGGTGAGGAACAAGTGGAAGAGAAGCTTGGGGGGAGATGGGGTGTTTTTCCCAGGCCCTGGACCCTGGGATTCATTCCTAGCTGGGATTGCATCTCCTGATGGGTGAACAGGCCACATCATTCTCATAGGGGTGTGCAATTTCACCCTGGCTTGACCACTCCGTGCCACCTTTTGAAGCAGAAGTGGCACTGGTGGCGAGACACAAGGCAGGGCATGTTGTAGGGGTTGTGCTTGTCCGGGTCAGTCTTTTGTTCTTGGGGCGATATACTTGAGAGGCCTGGCACAAGGAAGTGGCACATACTTTCTTTCTCGGTGTGTGCCCGCACAACCCAGAGTGGGGGCTACAGTTGCTGCTGCCACCAGTTTTTGTGCCCTCTTGTTTGCCCAGCACAAAAACCAAACAAAGCTTGGGTGATGGCTAAGTGAAGGGCAGGGCTTGAGATATCAGGATGAGTCCAAAGGTTGAGTAGGGAATGGGTCACCACAGCATGTGGGAATTCTGCATCGGGTATCAGAGTTTGAAGTTTTGCTTTGGCTGGTTCAGAATTGCCGCTTCTGCACTCCGGCTGCACAGGCCTCCCTGGAGGGGGCAGTTCATTACGACGGCATATTTTCACCTTTTAAAGGAGCGTTGCACATCACAGGGGCACTTCATGAAGGGCATTTGGGCACTTCAGAGTCTTGTAGAAACCGTGGCATTGTTTCTGTTCTATTGCGCAATAGAAAATATGCTTTCTGAATTACTCAGTTAACAGGAAGTTGCCGAAAAGGAGGATGTGACTCCAGGCTTCCTTACAACATCACAGATTTTATTTTTCACCACATCCCTCCTAGACGAGTATTTGATGTTGTTCTTAGACTTAAAAAAAGACTGCCATAGAGC